CTGATACAACAACTACCGCAGCTGATACAACAACTACAACTACCGCTGCTGATACAACAACTACAACTACCGCAGCTGATACAACAACTACAACTACCGCAGCTGATACAACAACTACCGCAGCTGATACAACAACTACAACTACCGCAGCTGATACAACAACTACAACTACCGCAGCTGATACAACAACTACAACTACCGCAGCTGATACAACAACTACAACTACCGCAGCTGATACAACAACTACAACTACCGCAGCTGATACAACAACTACCGCAGCTGATACAACAACTACCGCAGCTGATACAACAACTACAACTACCGCAGCTGATACAACAACTACCGCAGCTGATACAACAACTACAACTACCGCAGCTGATACAGCTACTACTGAATAATACTCGCAAGGACTTACACCCGACACTTGTGATAAAAAAGTGACCGTTTTTTTCAGCAACTGAGGAAAAAATTGCATCCATTCCCATTCCATCCAGGTATGCCTTCCTCCCTCCCCCCCCCCTCCTCCTTCCAGTCCTCCCTCGTGCCCTCCTTGCACCCTCACTCCCTCCTTATGTCCCTCCCTATCCTCCATCTTCCCCCCCCCCTTACCTCCATTATTCACTCTACCTTCGCGCGCCGTAACTCGCTCCGGTGCCTCCCTTTCTTACTCTCTTCCCTCCCTTACGCTCTCCCTTTCCTTCTTTACCCACTCCTTTCCTTAACCTCTCCCCCCTTCCTCTTTTACCCTCTCTTCAACTTCTACACTTCTTCTCTCTCTCTCTTGGTCTCAATCTTCTAATCTCTCTCCTCTTTCTAATATGTTCTGCTCTTTTTCCCTTTCTTGTTGTCTCTGGCTGCTTCTCTCTCCTCCACCTGGTCCTCTCCTCCACCTGGCCCTCCTCCACCTGGCCCTCTCCTCCACCTGGTCCTCTCCTCCACCTGGCCCTCTCCTCCACCTGGCCCTCTCCTCCACCTGGCCCTCCTCCACCTGGTCCTCTCCTCCACCTGGTCCTCTCCTCCACCTGGCCCTCTCCACCTGGCCCTCTCCTCCACCTGGCCCTCTCCTCCACCTGGTCCTCTCCTCCACCTGGCCCTCTCCTCCACCTGGCCCTCTCCTCCACCTGGCCCTCTCCTCCACCTGGCCCTCTCCTCCACCTGGTCCTCTCCTCCACCTGGCCCTCCTCCACCTGGTCCTCTCCTCCACCTGGCCCTCTCCTCCACCTGGCCCTCTCCTCCACCTGGCCCTCTCCTCCACCTGGCCCTCTCCTCCACCTGGCCCTCTCCTCCACCTGGCCCTCTCCTCCACCTGGCCCTCTCCTCCACCTGGCCCTCTCCTCCACCTGGCCCTCTCCTCCACCTGGCCCTCTCCTCACCTGGCCCTCTCCTCCACCTGGCCTCTCCTCCACCTGGCCCTCTCCTCCACCTGGCCCTCTCCTCCACCTGGCCCTCTCCTCCACCTGGCCCTCTCCTCCACCTGGCCCTCTCCTCCACCTGGCCCTTCACACGGCTGCCGAACATAAACAAGAAGTATCCTCGTCTGCCGCTCCTCAGTTATGCTCACCCGGGCCGACTCCTCTGTTTTGCTAACTCTCTCTCTCTGTACCTCTCTGTATATCTCTTTCTCTGTCTCTGGTTGTATCTCTCTGTCTCTCTCTGTATCTCTTTATCTCTGTATCTCCCTCTATCTCTCTCTGAATTTATCTATCTGTCTCTGCCTAATACAACCTACGCCCTCCTCCTCCCCCCAAACATATATTCACGTGTATATATTATATATATATATATATATATATATATATATATATATATATATATATATATATATATATATATATATATATATGACGCTTACGAAGCGCCAATATTCAGGAAGTATATACAACGAATACGTTATACAATTCTGGGCCAAGATTCATCAACTATTTACGTGCTCACGCACGAAGCCAGTACATCTTTCTTTAATCACGGCGGCTTACTTTGCATATATTAAATAATTCAGGAGCTGCTAACCGCTACAAGGGGTGTCTATACCATTACTAACCTAAGAGTGCGAATAATGGAAACGAAGCCCAGATGATCGTGGAATGATGTACAGGCTTCGTAAGTGGACACGTAAATCCTTTATGAGTCATGGCCCTGATATCCAAGTTACAGGAAGATGAAGACAAACCAGAGAGTGCCAAGAGCAACTATAAATTAATACCATCCGTCAAATTTCGTAAACAAGATGCAGTGCCCTAAATAAGATTAATTGGCCCTGCCTGCCGGGGAGTAACAGTTCCATGAATCAGGAAAAAAACTGCGGGCAGACACAGCTTAACAATATCAACCTATGTTAGACCAATTCTACAGTATGCAGCACCGGAATGGATATCTCTGGGTAATACACCAGTGTACTTGGGTAATACACCAGTGTACCCGGGTAATACACCAGTGTACCTGGGTAATACACCAGTGTACTTGGGTAATACACCAGTGTACTTGGGTAATACACCAGTGTACTTGGGTAATACACCAGTGTACCAGGGTAATACACCATTGTACCTGGATAATACACCAGTGTACCTGGGTAATACACCAGTGTACTTGGGTAATACACCAGTGTACTTGGGTAATACACCAGTGTACCTGGGTAATACACCAGTGTACCTGGGTAATACACCAGTGTACTTGGGTAATACACCAGTGTACTTGGGTAATACACCAGTGTACTTGGGTAATACACCAGTGTACTTGGGTAATACACCAGTGTACTTGGGTAATACATCAGTGTACCTGGGTAATACACCAGTGTACTTGGGTAATACACCAGTGTACCTGGGTAATACACCAGTGTACCTGGGTAATACACCAGTGTACCTGGGTAATACACCAGTGTACCTGGGTTATACACAGGTCAGCAAGTGCTGGTATACAGAGCCGCGACGGTTGCCAGAGGCAATGTTGTGGCGTGTGCTACGGATGATTCATATACACCGCACCTTGAGAGCCACACCTCTCATTTAGCAGGTACACATAGCTAAATATTATTAGGTAACACATAGAACTTCGGTTTCAACCCTTTTTACCCTGTCGTAGCTCAGTCGATTAAAGCAGTGTCTGGGATGCTCCCGGACGCAGGTTCGAATCCTCGTCACGGCCCTTGTGGATTTGTTCAGGTAACACATACACATGCATATATATAATATATAATTTGTGTATATGTGTATGAGAAAATGTTTACATACCTCAATGTGTATAAACAGCATTGGGACCCGACCAGCAAGAGATCTTCCTTCACGTGGAAACACGTAAGGAAGAGTCTCCTCCGTCAGTATAAACATATATGTAATGTATATGTAATGTATACAGATTATACATAATTCATTATTTATAAAGCATGTTTTAAGAAGGGTTCGTGCAACTTATTATTAGTTCAGTGTTCAGTGCCGGAAATAACTGCAGTAGTATTTAATCATAATATAAAGTTTTCATCATGTATGTGTAAACATTCTTATGTTGGTGAGAACAATGGAGAGAACAGGGACTCGCATTCACACCAGTTAATTACATTTACCTGCACCGTTGTGTACCTGCTTGTTTGTACTCACCTAGTTGTGCTTGCGGGGGTTGAGCTCTGGCTCTTTGGTCCCGCCTCTTAACTGTCAATCAACTGGTGTACAGATTCCTGAGCCTATCGGGCTCTATCATATCTACACTTGAAGCTGTGTATGGAGTCAGCCTCCACCACATCACTGCCTAATGCATTCCATTTGTCAACCACTCTGACACTGAAACCATTCTTTCTAACGTCTCTATGGCTCATTTGGGTACTCAATTTCCACCTGTGTCCCCTAGTGCGTGTGTGTATTTTCCACCTGTGTCCCCTAGTGCGTATGTGTATGTGTGTGTGTGTGTGTGTGTGTGTGTGTGTGTGTGTGTGTGTGTGTGTGTGTGTGTGTGTGTGGTGTGTGTGTGTGTGTGTGTGTGTGACAGGTCTAGCGTTGCATTATGGTATCTACGAGACTAACAGTAATCTGTGACTGCCAATGAACTTTTAGCTACAATCGGTTACCAGTAATAATATAGGAAGAAGTTCAGGGAGTGTTAAAGTGGGCTAGAGGTATAAAGTAAGGAGGCAATTATCAGGGGAAAGCGCCAAGCTATTACTTCTACACAGAACCGGAAAGAGATGAGGATAAGGTAGTCGAAGGTATAGATAAGATATTTTATTAATGTTTGTGTTGTGTTTGTTGCAGGTTGGGCATGGAGGGCGGGGGCGGCGCCTGGTGCCCGCGTGCCCCCGTCGACACCCGCCAGGAGGAGTGGCTGGAGGTTGACTTCGGGGCGCCGCGGCTCCTGACGGCGGTGGCAACACAGGGTCGACACGCCAACGGCCAGGGTGTCGAGTACACCCCGGCCTACACCCTCAGCTACTGGCGCCCCGGCATGCCCGCCTTCGACTACTACTCTGCTCACCCGAACCTCGCCAACAAGGTGCGTGGATGCCGCAACAAATTGTTATTTGTGATAAATAAAGAGTTGCTGACTCTTATTTGTCGTTGCTGAGGTAAGTCTCATCCCTCATAGGTCTCACCCTCATAGACGAGCTCTCACCCTCACAGGTGAGCTCTCACCCTCACAGGCGAGCTCTCACCCTCACAGGTATGACGGGGGACAGAGAGATGAGTCCTACGTGGGGTTAATCATCCCATAGTTCACTCTGGGTGTCAGGAGCTTACCCAGCACCATGTTGCAGGCTCAGTGCCACTGCTCAGTGTCACCCACTCAGCGTGTCTACCTCACATTCCTGCCACCAATCTCCGCTTAATACCATCCACCCACTGTGTCTCCTTCCCTCTGATGCCACCAATCTCAGTGACACGACCTAGTTGGCTACCACTGGCAAAGTCGGTATAGAACTTGGATTTCACCCCGAAGGCTGAGGTTCGAACCCATGTAGGTTTATTGAGGAAGGGTGCAGAGACATGCTACTAAATGGCTGACGGAAGTTACGTAACTCTCACCCTGTAACTACACTTAGGTTAAATTACACGCACGCAGACTTATTATACTGATGTATATCACTATAATAATAATCATTAAAAAAGTACTATTCATCAATACTCATACGGAGCATCAACTCACATTAAAAAGATGAATGCTAAGATGAAAGTATCGGGCGTGGTAGGAAGTGAGAGGACTTGAGAGTGGTATCTTGTGGCATGTTGTATACCCGTGACCGCCAGGGTGGGGCCCGTGACCGCCAGGGTGGGACCCGTGACCGCCAGGGTGGGGCCCGTGACCGCCAGGGTGTGGGGACCCGTGACCGCCAGGGTGGGACCCGTGACCGCCAGGGTGGGACCCGTGACCGCCAGGGTGGGACCAGTGACCGCCAGGGTGGGACCCGTGACCGCCA